ATGACCGAATAAACAATCAACAGAAAAGATTTCGGCGCAATTTTTAAAATTGACCAATCACGATTTCTTTGATAATTTCTAATTGGTCAATTTTCAAAAAATACACCGAAATCTTTCTGTCGATTGTTTGTTCGGACAAAATGAAAATTCTGTCAACTATAAAAATTCGTACAAATAAAAATTCGTTAAATTGGAATTTCTGTCATTTAAAAATTCGAATCACATAAAATTCAATTGAATGAGAATTCTGCTAATTTAAAATTCAATTAAATAATAAAAAAAAAAAATTTTAATAATGATTTTTGAGATATTCTTGCGCCCCAGTTGAATTAGTCAAAAATGACTAATACAAATTTAGAGAGAGAGAGATGATTATTTTAACAAGAATTTTTTAAGCATCAGAACAAACTGTGCAAAAAGTAGAAGCTGTAACGATGAAGTCATCCTCGAATAATGCACAATCTCATTTATAGAACTTTCAATTAGTAGAGAGTACTTTATAAAATATCAATAAAAGTATAGTGATTTTCAAATATATTAATTGAAAACAGAGAAAACTCTTATTTCAAAGCTGATATTCAATTTCAAGGAAATACATATATATAGATTGATAAAGTTGTATATTTATAATCAAAGCAAATAAAATTATGTAAATATAAAGATTCATGGAAATAATCTGACATCTGTTTTTTCTCGACATTGCAAAGAGAGATAAAGAAATGCTATAATATCCCAAAATCACGATCTCAGAGTGCTAAGATTCGTTTCTGTTCACTGAATTCTATCGATTCTTGTAAGACTCGAGTTTGTCGTACAAATTCCTGTATAGGTTTATTACTATATATATGGGCGAGAGGAAAAAAAAAGAGCAGAATAGACACACACGGGGGTGGTAATAGTACTACATATATACGAGTGGTCACTTGAGACTTTCCTTACACGTGTAAAAATGGGGTTTTTCTTTAGTGAGACTTCTAAAACAGTGAAGATCTTTGTTTAATCAGAACATTTATATGAAGGGTGGTGTGAGCCATTATAGAAGTTGGCAAATTCAAATCAAATAAATGACAGACGGGGGAGGGGAAGAAATTCTCATTTTTCAAGTGCCTTATCCTTAGCGCATGTGTTTCAACTTTATAACTTTCAAACTCTCACAATCTCACATTCTTAAAACTTGATGCAAAAATTTTATGCGATTCGAATTTTTAAATACAAAATAATTTTCAATTTCAACTCTTAATTTTTTTCCAATTTTTACATTTGCAGGAATTTTTAATAGAATTCTTAAATCTTCGAATCTTAATTTGTCCGAAATTGCAAATGTTCGAAAAATAAACAGAAAAATTTGGGCGCTATTTTTAAAATTTACCAATTAGAAATTATCAACAAAAAAAAATCGTGATTGGTAAAATTTTAAAAATAGTCCCCAAATCTTTCTGTTGATTGTTTTTCGGACAAATTAAGATTCGGTGAATTGGAAATTATTTAAAAATTCGAATCATATAAAATTCAATTGAATGTGAATTCTGCTAAATTAAAGTTCGATCTAAAAAATAAATGAAATTAAAATGAAAATTCTAACTAATAATTTTAGAAAAACAAACATATTATAAAAAACCTACTGAGAAGAAAAATACTAATGTGAAAAACTACTTCGCAAATGATAACAATAATATTTAAACTCATTTCAGAAACTATAAATGAATTTCTCTGAATCGGAATCCAAAGGAATTTGAAGAATTCGAAATTTCGCGAAATAAACGAAAGAAAAAAAAACATTGAAAGTACTTTAAGAATAAATGTTTACATAAAAAAAAATTCTACACCTCTCGACAAATGACAAAAAAATCCTCAAGAAACTAATGCGCACATATAATTACATCTTCAAGTTGCAGAGAATATTTGAAATGCATTATATATTATTATACACTTGTGGTTTGGAGATAAAACAAAGGTGCAGTTAACTTTTGCAATATCCATATATAGATAAAGAATTCACAGAACTATAAAATCAAGAAAATTGAAAATAAATATACGGTTATATAACAATGAAATACTCTCTCTCTCTTATATAAGTGGTGAATCTTAAAAGAGAGAATAAAAGGGGATTCAATTTAAAACTCAACGCTACCTCATATAGATGATGAATCATCAGAAATAATTTGATCAGTGATTTAGTGTCTCGTTGTTCAATTTTCAAACAAAAATGTTATTGTATCCGCAGCATATCACATATACAAATATATCTCGTACACACAAAATATAAAATCTTTATAATGCCGCGAGTTTTCATATATATATATGTGCTATTCTTTGGATTCAAAAACTCGAAAGGAGAAAATCCTATTTTATAGAAAGTCTCATTGTGTGCATTCTGACCCCCCAGACCATTGTTGAAATGAGAACGCAAGAGTGCATAGACCTCGAGAAAATATATAGATTCAATATCCCTGTGATGCATTTTCTTCTATTTTTGCATTTTCAACACTTTAGACAATACAATAGATTTCCTACGAAATTTTACGAGAGGGTCTCCACTAAGAAAAATCCTAGTTATCACAAGAATGTTAAATATTTCCCAACTCTCTAAATCTGAATTAGTAAAAATGTTTACTAATTTAAATTATAGTGACTCACTTTTTGCTTTACAATTAGTTAAATTTTACTAATTGTTAGTAAAAGTTACTAATAATTAGTAAAATTTTACTAATTCAGAAGCAAAAAGTGAGTCACCAATTCAAATTAGTAATCATTTTTACTAATTCAGATTTAGAGAGTACTAATTGTTCTGGTTACTTTTCTTAGTTAATAAAATTTCTTAAGTATTTAGAACCCAAAAATCGTCTTTTCTGGATCCATGAATAAGCTGTAAAATTAAATTTTATTTGGCAAAATTTCATTATCTAGAATTTACCTTTAGCCAAATTTTTATTTTTTTTTTAAATTCATGAGATTTTACTGACGAAATAGTTGGTATTTAGCAACTGGAATCACTTCAGTAAGATTTCCACTGACATTCAATCACGATCCACTGAAAACTAATAGAATTATTACTGATTAAAATTTAAAAATTCAAATCTGCATTACCATTAATCGGTAAAAACAGATTTTACTGTTTTAAATCTGCATTACCATTAATCGCTAAAACAGATTTTACTATTTTAAATCTGCATTACCATTAATCGGTAAAGCAGATTTGACTGGTTAAAATCTGCATTACCATTAATCGGTAAAACAGATTTGATTGTTTCAAATCTGCATTACCATTAATCGGTAAAACAGATTTGACTATTTCAAATCTGCATTACTATTAATCGGTAAAAACAGATTTTACTGTTTTAAATCTGCATTACCATTAATCGCTAAAACTGATTTGATTGTTTGAAATCTGCATTACCATTAATCGGTAAAACAGATTTGACTATTTCAAATCTACATTACCATTAATCTGTAAAACTGAATTGATTGTTTCAAATCTGCGTTACCATTAATCGGTAAAAACAGATTTGACTGTTTTAAATCTGCATTACCATTAATCGCTAAAACAGATTTGACTGATTCAATCAGTATAGAATTGTAGTAAATTTTCATCGAAATACAACTTATGAATTTCAGTGGAAATTTTACAAAAGTGATTCAGTTGCTAAATTCCAACTATTTCATCACTCTCTTAATTTGAATCAATGAAATTTAACTGGTAAAATAGCTAGAAGTCGGTTATTGAATCATTTAGTGAAATTTTCACTGAAAATTAGTAATATATGACTGATTTTTAGTGAAAATTTCACTAAACGATTCAATAATCAACTTCCACCAACTGCACTAATTCAAATTAAGAGAGCAGTGAAATAATCTCATGATTTTGAAAAAATAAAAATTTTGCCAAAGTTTGATGAAATAAAAATTTTGTAAAATAAAAATTTATTTAGGTAATAAAAATTCTGTAATATAGAAATCTATAATATAGTTCTATATTAGTTTCATATATAGAACTTCTTGTAACATAATAATTCGAATTCTAAAAATATAAATTGTATAGGTAATGAAATTCTGTCAAAATGAAAATTCAAACAAATTAATTTTATAGCTTATTCATATATGCGTTCCGTCTTTTCATAATGCAAACAAATTATATTGACTCTGCTAAATTATAAGCAATAACTTCTTTGAAATTCATTTTATTTTAGTACACGGAAAAAAAGAAAAAGTAACTTTTACTACTTTAAAAGTAAAATTGGACCTGTCCGAAGTTTCTGCGCATCTCTGGCAACTTTTACTCCAAAAATAGTAAAATTTACTTCAGAAATAGTAAAAATTACTACGGAAACAGTAAAATTTACTACAGAAATAGTCAATTTTACTATTTTTCGAGTAAAAGTTGCCAGAGATGCGCAGAAACTTCGGACAGGTCCAATTTTACTTTTAAAGTAGTAAAAGTTACTTTATTCGTTTTTCCATTTTTCTCCGTGTAGTAGCAATCTTACGTAATAATTTACAACCAAACTGACCTCCAGAGAGTAAGATACCCCATTAAATTGGTGAAGGGTGGACGACGCGTAATCCCTATTCCCACGACCACGTGTCAAGGTGGAGGACACCTTTACAGCTTGCACTTTCATGCATAGGCCAGATACCCAATGTCAAGTGCAAAATGGGACACAACGTGCAAAATGAAAGGTACAATAAAAAAAAAAAAATAGAGAAAATAATGATTCTAAATGTTACAAATGATGACAATGATGATAAATACAAATTTTCTGAATGAAAAAAAAGAGAAGAATAAGTCAAAGGAAAAGAAAAAGGACACTGCTTTTAAGGGTTGCCGGTTGTATATATATACAGTATAGGTTTTGGCGTCAATAATACATAGTGACGTAATTCTTTCGAGGTTTGTTATTGGAGGATGTGTCATCCAATGGGGAGAGGTCGATACGGCAGCTGGGTGGCGCGGCGCGCGCTCTCCAAAACAGGCTGAAAACTCCTCGCTTTATTCCGTGATTTCGCGAAGAGAGAACACCGCGCCAGTCAGTCCCCGGCGACCGAACCTGTATAATACACACAGTAAAATATACGAATCAAAGAAGAAGAAGAAGAAGAAAAAGAAGAGAGAGACGAAATAAGGAAAGAGAGTGAAAGAGAAAGGGACTAAGGGGGGAAAAAAAGGGAGCGCGATATAGAAAAAAAAAGAGAGAAAGAGCGAGATAACGGTTGAGCTTCGCACTGGCGTCAGTTATTCGGCTGAACGGCTCAACTGCTAGTCGATGTTTCAAAGCGCGCCGCTCATTTCATTTTCATATATATAGTTCTCATTCGAGGTGACAGCATTAAAATCACGCGCATTATCCTTTCAAAGGACATAATGACACTATTGTTGATACCGTTTACAATAATCACGGTACAATAATTATTCGATAAACGGGATTTGTGTTTAGAGCGCAAGCTTACTTTATAATATTTGGATTAAGTGCCAGAAAAACCTTTTAAAATGTAAGTAGATTTTATAAAATTTTTTATAATGTGAGATTAAAACCTTTTTATAGAGGGATTTTAAATTGAGAAAAGAGCATTTGATATATACTATCAAGGATTGTAGATACCGGCTATGTCACTAAACACGCGAATTTATCCATACACACTTTTTAGGTCATTTTTACCTATACATTTTTCCAAGAAATTATTATATAGAAGAAGATCAATCAATGACAACCAATATATATATATAGCGAAAATAAACTCGATTTTCATTCTGGTCATGTTTCACCTAGGGATTTCCCGGATATCCCCCTTTTTTATTGGGAGGGGAAATAAAAGCACCTTAAACCAAAAATTACTTCCTGAATTGAAATCGGAGTCGTAAAAATCGAAAAGCAATAAAATCATAACTGTCAATTGATGTTAATGAATTTTTAATTTTGAATTTCTTTAAAATGAATTAGCGACCCTTTTGCTATTTTATAATTTTTCTTGATACACACTGAAAAAAATTTTATTTGATTCAGATAATCGGTTATCAAATAATTATTATTTGAGATCACAGAAAATTATAAGGTATTAAAATAATAAGCGTTGCAGCTTATTTTAATGCCTTTTAATTTTCTGTGATGGTATTTGTTTCAAATACAGAAATTATTAGTTTAAATACAATTTATTTGATTCAAATAAAAATTATTTGGTTCAAGTAAATAGTTATTTGATAATAGTCAAGTAATCGATTGTTTGAATCAAATAAATTTTTTTTTAGTGCAAATTTAGAAAGATTGTTTTTATTAAATATAAATATAAAAGAAGAAGAAGCGTGACAAATAATAGTTTTCATTTGGATCAATTGAAATTTGTTTTATAAGTTTACAGATGCGTCATCAAAATTATATTTTAATTCTTAGAAACTAAAGTAAAATAATGATTTTCATTAAAGCTGCATGATATATGCCGGCCTTACAGTTATCGACATGTGTCTCATGTTTTTATAAAAGTATTTTTGTATAATATCACGCTTCTTTTATTATAATAATTCATAATATATATTCAACTATTAAAGTAACAATAAAGAAAACTTTTTCATATATCTTTAGCGAAAAAAAAAACAAAACACTAACAATAATACTACAGTTCAATTGCAAAAACATAGTAAAATTATTATAATTTAAAAACAACTTTTTCAAAAATACACAGAAAATTAAAAGGCATTAAAATAAGCTGCAATGCTTATTATTTTAATCCAATTTTGCTTATTTTAATCCATTTTGGAATTAAAATAAGCAAAATTGGATTAAAATAATAAGCGTTGCAGCTTATTTTAATACCTTTTAATTTCTGTGTACATTTTAGTTGCTGTAGCAATTTTTTTTCATTAATTCTTTTCCTAAAATATATTTTCAAAAAAAATAACTTTCTGTAAAATTAACCTATTAATTTTACTTGATTTTTGCAATTGGACAGTATAAAAAAATGATTTATTTTTCATTAATAAAGTTTCTAATGAATAAGGAAGTGACAACAATTTTCATGCAAACACTTCATATAAACTGGAAACTAATGCGAAATAATTAAATCAACCTTGCGATTAAAGAATTCCCTTTGAAAATCAACATAAATAATTTTTTAAATCACTTAATTGTAATAACAATAATTATAAACTAATAACAATTAGGAATAACAATAATAATTATTATACATTTTTCGTAAAAATTCGAACTAGATGCATATAAAGCCTTATACAACATCAATTATCATATTTTCAATGACAACTTAACCTATTTTACATACGATTTTTGTATAGAAACCACAAGTTAAGAAATGATAATTTTTATCTTCCTCGACTTCTTTTCTTGCAAAAAAAGTGATATTTGCAAAGAATGTCATTATGGATAGAAAGAAAAAAAAAATCTAACGACACTTAACACTTATTACCCGATTTCTAAGTATATAATAATAGGCTAATGCATAAGTCAACGAATCAGAATCTGTATAGCAAAATTACATACATTATTAAGAAAAGTATGTCAAGTCACTTTGAAAAGAGATTTATTATTCAATCCATTTCCAATATTATATTTTCCTCTCTTACAATAATTTACATTTATCCACAGTTATATACAAATTACCTAATGTAATCAGAATTTACACAACTAAAACTATATTATTTCCTGATTTCTCTCTAAAATACATATACTCTAAATATTTTATACAAAAGGAAGGCGCGCAATAATAGCGTGGGTTTTCAATGATGCACGTCTAATATGTATATGAGTGATTAACTAAATGAAGTGGAGGATATAAATTACTCTCCAAGGGGCTGATTGTCAAATCTTCGAATGTACGCACTTCATGCGTCTATTTAAATACGACATCGTTAAAAGGATGATTGGACAGAAAAGGCCCTGAAGTTTTTGCTATTTTATTTTTAAGATCACGTCATCATCATGTGCGTGCATTTTTTTTTTTTTTCGTAAATTCTGTCACAGTTCATATACACCGCGAGAAGGAACTGGAATATTAAAACTTTTTCAGAGCAAAAATGATGTCATCAAATAATTAATTGACAATATAAAAAAAAGATCATCTAAATTCTTACCGAAAAAAACATCGAAATGAGAGAAAATTACTATTTAATTATGTCAATTATAAATGTTACAAATTCCAATATATATATTCTTTTAAATATAGTGTGTTAACGATGTAATGATAAACAGAAAACTAATATTAATATGAGCAATAACTAAAATGGTTATTCTTTAAATTATAGGTTATGTTCTTGTATTATAATTTCAGCTTTAGAAAGAGAGTGTTATAAAAATTAAATGGTTCAAGCATAAATTCACGTTAACTTCTTTCGTGACGCGCCGCTTTTATATATATATGACATTATATGAGCGTGCGATTCGAGACAAAATAAGAGAAAAGAAAAATATGGGGGGCGACGCGCATGAGGAAAACAGTGATGAGGTGCGTTGTTCAGAAATGAAAAGACGAAAAAAAAAATCTCCCTCAGGTACACTAGGGCCCTAATGCTGACTGTTTGTGGTACAGTGTATGAAACACTTTTGTTCACAGATACATATATATCCAGCCAAGAAGGTCAATACTAAAGGCCAATGTCTTTCTACAACACCGCAAGGTCTATATAAAGAAAAGCAGAGAGATTTCATAATAAAATATGAAATAACTTTATTTTGATTCTGTTTCATTAATTTATTTGTCTAAAAATAGCAAAATCTGTACTATTTAGATTAATGTACAATTTTTGATATATCAGAATCAATTTATAATCATTCATAATCTATAGACTAGGAAGATAATTATAACGAAGATTTATACAATTCAGATTGTAGTCCGTAATTGATAGTATCAAGAAAATACAGAAACTGACCAATAACAACGTCTACAGAATGAATTACACAAATTAAAAGAAATGAAGAATTATCTTTTCCATCATTGTGTTCATTAATGTAAAAAAAAAATCCTCTTTAACGATTCCGTTGAACAAGAATAAAACCGGATTTGTCTCTCCTAAAACATTTTCAGAAAAAAAGTATAATTATATGGTTAGACACTTTTTGAAATTTTTAATGATGATAAAATAGTTCCAAAGGATAGTGTGTCATTAAAGATTCAACGCCAAAATTAAAATAATAATAATAATAAATAAAACTCAATTTTAATATAACATAATCATAAATATCAAGATCACGGAAATAACTGAATGAATAATAATTTGAGATGTGACCTTGCGATCAAATATCTCGTACGAGCTATATCATAAACACAAGTACTAAACTTTAATTATTACTACACATAGTTTCTTATAACGATATTTTATATCTTTTTAATTTAAACTACCAACATATTTCAGAGTAGAGGAAAATTACTTTTTGAAAAAAAAGGTATAAAAACCCTTTTAGATACTGCACTTGATGTCGCTCTATACTCGTAAAATTCCTTTTATATTCTACAGGTGTATATGGATTATATAGAGGCGCACTTGGTGCATATCAATTATTAGGTAATTGATTCCAGGACAGTTTATATTAATCGACCCCGATGAGCTTAATAAATATGACATCATTATCACCAAGTTATGACTGGGCTTTTAACCCAAGTGTACTATGCGTTCTGATTTCAATCCGTAGCATCATTAAACACACCAATAAAAGCGGTCTATTCAAAAAGGCGCCTATAGATTTTCCACGCAAACAGAAAAAAAAAACCACATACAGTGGTTTCTATCAGAGATAGAAAGGGATGATACAGCAATATATTTAGTAGCAGAGTAGAGATACCAGATTTTCTCAACTGATATTCTAACTATAAAAAATAAAACCATAATCAAGACTAGAGTAATAAATTAATTTATTCCATAATGTGTTGTTATTTTAGTTTCTGGTTTGAAACAAGTGAATTTGTAACAGGCCCTGTAGAAATGAAACAGCTGTGCCATCAAGGCAGGAACAAATGAAACTAGAAACCGTTTACCTGCCTAATGGAAACACCTGACCACAACTCAAGTGTCACAAACATGGCTTCAATAATTTTTAAATGTAGCATTTAAAGTCAATGAACTATTGAGTCATTTAAAAATTGTGTCACTAAACTGATAACAAAAATAAATACTGAAAAAATTATGAATTCAATTAAGATAAAATTAAACAGAATTTAATTATTTTTCATATAACATTTATATAGTTACTGTGGAATTATTTACTGTGGTAACAGTTAGTTACTATGGCATTAGTTACTGTGGTAACAGTTAGATACTATGGCATTCGCTACGGTGGCATTAGTTACTGCGACATTAGTTACTGTGGCATTAGTTACTGTGGTAACAGTTAGTTACTATGGCATGAGTTACTGTGGTAACAGTTAAATACTATGGCATTCGCTACGCTGGCATTAGTTACTGTAGCATTAGTTACTGTGGCATTAGTTACTGTGGAATTAGTTACTGTGATAACAGTTACTGTGGTAACCGTTAGTTACTATGGCATTAG